AGTGTGGTAAACCTTAAGAATAAAGAAGGGGAAAATACAAATTATTTATTTTCCCAACAGGCTGAGCTCACAGTCTTCCACCACCAACAATTGGGACCCATAGTTAAGCTCAGAGTCAACCTCACTCTCTTTGGTGGGCACTTTAAATTTATTTCTCTCACAATAGCCTTGGTTAGTATTTCCATTACATCGATAAGAAAAAGGAGGTTACGAAAAGTTGTTATCAATACTTAATATAGACAGAATTTGAACTCAGGCGATAGAGAAGGTGGCAATCTCCAGAGAATGATTTCAGAAAAGCTGTGTAGTAACTTTTGCCTCTAAATATATAACCCTATTTCTTTATTACCTGAAAAAGCACAATTACTGCTTTATTCTTGTGGTTTAAGGTAATGGATGCTTTCTATGTGGTGAATGCAAACGTTTCCCAAATATCAGAATCCATTTATAATTCAGTTTATCAAATAATTTCCAGAAAACAATTGTGATAAAGGAGTGCAAACAGTTATTTTGTAATTCCCCCTGTCTTAAAAAATGAAGTGACCTTAAAGCTTTCGGTAGCAATCCTTCACCAATCCACTGTTAACCTTGAGGTCAGACATATAGTATTCATATTTAATACAGCATGTGGAATATTTAGGACCTAAAGCTCACCAAGGAAACTTCTCTGAAAGCCCTCACACGGGAAGGCCCCTCGGTATTGGGAAGTAACAAATTATATGAAGAAATGAATAAAGACCTCAGTCCCTTGCACATACAACTTCCCTATGTTTATTCCATAAATAAGATTATATGAGATGGACTGGCAGATAGAGCCCCAGTTTATGATCCCTACTCTGGGAAAATTGCTGTAGAAATAGTTCTAAGATATACTCTCTTATTTTTTTTTTGTACTCACCCATTTTGGACCTTGGTCACAATCCTTCCTCTCTATACCACAGCTGAAAAAATGCAGCCCAAGGGGAGTGATCTCTTCATTATACAGAGGAGTCTATGACCCCAAAAAGAAGCCCTTGAAGCCAGATTATATCTCTGAGCATCTGCTACAGAAAAGCACACAGACAGGAAGCCAAGGGCAATTCTGACATCTCTTCTTCCCCTAAAACACAAGCACGCATGCAGGAATGCACACACCCATGGACACACCCATGCACACACACACACGCACGCACGCCCATGCACGCTGCTGAAACTGTATCCAAAAGAGGCCATTACTAAGTACAAAGCAAGGCACCATAGCTTGCCCATCGAAGGTGCTCAGTAGCCCACATTTAGGGAGGTTTCCTAGTTCAGGGTACTCTCTTCATTTGATCCAAAGTAAAATCTTTTCCTCTCACTCTTTTTATTCTTCCATTATCCACCCCCTCCTCCTTTAGCTTCACACATTGACTAAGGCTAACTCCATACTGGATCCTTACATATGCACTGGAGAAGGAGTGATGGTCCAGACAGGCAAGGTCTTTGTGTTTATATTCAATTTAGGGGGCGGATAGTGAAGAATAAATAGGATACTTTAAAGCAGTGAGAGTAAACAGAGCTCCAATGGAACAGGGAGATACTAACCAGGTGTGGTCACATTGTCTCAAATTCTCTCGGGGAGACCTGATTATGAAAGAGGGGTCTAGGCAGATAGAATAAAAAGTGAAGAGTCCTAGAGATGGGAATGAGCCTGTGTATTTCTAAAATATAAATTAAAAAGTAAAGACTTTGTGGTTCAAGGAGCAGAGGGAAGCTATTGAAGAGACTGGCTAGGTTCCCAGGTCAACATTTTTAGGAGTTTGTAGACCATAAGGTTGAGATTTGATTCTAACTGCAATGGGATGTCAGAGGGATTTTAGCAAGGGGCTTACATGATCGGGATGGACATTGTAAAGAGCACTAAGGGTGCACATGACCCAGTGTGGTAGCAGGAACAATGGCCAGGAGTCTATGGTGGTGTCCAGGTAAGACCTGATGGCAGTGAAACTAAGGTGGCTTCATTGAAAACAGAGATGGTTTGACTTGTGATACATTTTTGAAGTAAAGGCCACAGGACTTAGGTGGGCTTACAGTTCATGTGCCTTTGAATAGGGACCACATGGACTTTGCTTTATACTAACATATAATTGATTTTTTCTGTCCCTGCCCCAGAATCCAATTATGATTAAGAGAAGGCTGTTAATCAGAGTAGCTGAAGAAGCAAAGGGGGTTATAGCAAAATAAATACATAATACATCATTGAAACAGTCAAGAAAGGGAAGCCTGAGCTATCAAAAAGACACACCAGCTATTACCAAACAGCACAAAGGGGCAAGCCTGCATAGCTGTGCAGTCTTTAAAGTCTATTTGCTGTGACAGTGTCAGAGCTGGGAAGATCTTTAGGTACCACCTAGGTCATTCATCATCTCAGAAATGAGAAGACATAAGACAAGAGATTGAAATGTCTTACCTAGGGTCACAGATCTAGTTATCGATATGACCAAATTTAGAGCTCCTGTCTCCAGATTCTCAGGACTGTGCTTTCTTATTACTTTTTAGTATATAACCTAATTTTCTCCTAATAGGCTTCTCAGACACAGTGCCTGAAATTTAAAGATTACTCACTGTTTGCCTTCAGGCATCAAATGTCTCATTTGACATTTTAGGTCAAGTGTAACATCATTAAGATTACTCTCACTTGTTGTGTCCCTTTAACACGAGTTACTGTGAGGTGAAGTCTCTCTAGAGAAGAAGGGAGGAAAGGGAAGTATATTGGGGGAGAAGAGCATAGAGGAAGCGGGGAGGAGTACCAAGTGAAAGAGTTAATAATGTCTTTGCCCTTGGACCCAGTTACATATAGCTGTTACCTTCTGGTTTGACACCCTTGGACACTGATCATCCTGTCTTTTTTCATTTTTGTTGAGAATGTGTGAAAATATGGTAGCCTGGTGCCCTTCTCCTTTATGTAACTTTGTCTAAATTCTTCATTTTGGTTGAGGTCGGTAGCTCTACTAGCTTAACCTGGTGTATCCCATACAATCATATAATCGTCTATAATTATAAAATGTGTTTGATAAATATTCAGGCTCATCGTGAAAGCTAGTCATTGAGACATCTCTGTGGACACAAAGAGGATGGTAGAAAAATCAAGTGGATTACACTGGATTCTTTTCTCAGACAACTTGGACTCTCTTCTGAAATCTGGTACGAATTTAATGAGATCTTGGGAAAAATTTTATTCTCAGCATGCCCCAAACTTTAGGAAAATAGCAAAAAGACTGATTCTTTATGAGACTTTTTTTCATCCTTAAATGCAGAAGCACTTTACATTTATAAAGGTGCAGTCATTCTTCAGTGAAATCTTTATCACCTGGTGAAACCTGGTTGGTGCCTATTCTACACTCTGGAGGATGTTCATGTTCAAGCTTATTAGCATCTCGGACGCTAAGCATCTTACACCAATTCCTTCATCTGACTTCATGTCTCTCGTGAGCCCTTGGGAGCTCGGCCTTGTAAAAGGAGCTTCAGATCAGAGCTCAGATATACCAAAGAATGGAGAAACAAGATAGAGTTAGATCCCTGAGGAAGTAGATGAAAAAGTCAACTCCACCTCCAGTTTGAGTGACTGGCCTAGAGAGGTGGCAGCCAGATAACTGTCATTTTGTAGAATAGTGTTGTTGCAAAGAGAAGAATAGAAGCCTTTTTTACTCCTTACAATTATTTCCATGTGCTCTGGCTCTCCCGCCCTAAGCAGTCTACCTGGACTTGTCAAGTCTGAAAGTGAAAGGAAAGTTGAATGTACATCCTGGATGCATAGTCAATAAAAAGGACACAGACAATTCAAACAGTATTCTAGTAGTAACCATCAAACTGAATTCATCACTTTCTCTCCTGCATCCCTAAGCCCCAATGCTCACTTTACTTCTCTGACTTCACTTACCTCTCTTACTTCTTATACTTAAAAACTAATGAGAATAAACATCTTTGTCAATGAAACACTTTAAATATGATAGTGTAGATTTAAAAAGGTAATGGAATTGGATTGACCACATATAAAAAAGTCCGTGTATGGTATGGAAGGCCAGGTACTAGTTCTCGCTAGACAAACTAGGAAGTCACGTAACTCTTAGTGTGTTATTGTTATGTGTGTTAAATGGGAGGATAACAATTGCAATAGCTAACATTTAATGAGGGCTCTCTACTTGTTAGACACTGTAATAAGAGTTTTACATATATTATCTAATTTAAATTTCTAACCGATCTATGAAATGGACATGTCCCAAAGAAAATGAGCTTTAGTGACTTTTCTGTAGTCATAGCCAAGATATACTGGAAGGAGACCCCAACCCGGCAATCTGACTCTGAAGTTGTTTTCCTCCGGTCTTCATCTGGTCATTGTAGGTTGAATGAAATACTGTTTGTCAGCATGGAAATGAAAAATACTCTAGATAAAAAAGGGTTTATTAAAAATTTTCTAGGTAAAAAAATAGATTATAATCTTAATAAGGACTGTGTTATCTAATAATTTGCTTGATGAGATCTGAGGTAGCGGCATTTAGAAGTCATGCAAGAATGATTTCAAAGAAATTCGAAATTTCTCCTTTCTCTTTGTTGCTGGGGGTAATATGGGGCTGGTTCCGCGACTTCCGCCATTGGTCTAGGATCAGTGGTCGGCAAACTGTGGCTCGCAAGCCACATGCGGCGCTTTGGCCCCTTGAGTGTGGCTCTTCCACAAAATACCGACTTCTGCACATGGGCCACGAAGTTTCAATCGCACTGTACATGCACGCCCGCATGTGGTATTTTGTGGAAGAGCCACACTCAAAGGGCCAAAGAGCCGCATGTGGCTCACGAGCGCCGCAGTTTGCCGACCACTGGTCTAGGTATATGAGTGACAAAATGTAGCGCTGCTGGACAATGCTAATAAATTAATTGGAATTTAATAAAATATGCATGCCATATGATTTCATACTATGTGACATTTTTAAAACCATACTCATGCCTACACACACACACACACACACACACACAATTTGTCCTACCTCAGGCTGTCATCTGCTGAGGCAGGCTTAACGACAGGGTTGATTCTGGCCCAATTCCACCATTCTGAAATTGAAAAGTATTAGGAAGGTGCAGTGTCGGCCAAATCCTAGAGAAAACAAGCCTCTTTCCCCGCTTCATCTCTTTATGACTGTCTTATAGGAATGCCATTTCTATATCCCTTTGGTAACCAGACTTGATTTTTGTGTTGCTCGAGTGCTATAAAATTGGTGCTAAGACACACTTCCTTCTGGTAAAGGAAGTTCTGAGGAAGCAGGAATAGAATTATTTAAAGGAATGTATTTATATACCATATAAGTTGGCTGGGTGTGCCAGCCAGCAAGTTCATCATTTTGCATTCACTATCTCATATAATCCTCATCACAACCCCCTGAATTGGGTTCTGCTATCACCTCATCACAAAGAATGAGAGGCTCAGAGAAGTTAAAGAACTTTTAAAAGTCATTCAGAGAATAAGTGTCAGAGCTGGCATTCTTACTCAGTCTCTTAGACTATACACCCTGTACTTCATCAGCTATTTTAGGGATCAGCAAGCCACAGTCATTAGGCCAAATCTGACCTGCTGCCTGGTTTTGTAAATGAAGTCTGATTGGGACAGAGATGTGTTCATTCATTCAATGGCCTACTTTTGCACTACAATATCCTAGTTGAGTAGTTACAACAGAAACCATGTGGCCTAAAATATTGACTCTTCGGCCCTGTAAAGAAAAAGTTCACCAACCCCTGGACAACACCAAAACATGATGGATCCAGCTCAGATCATTAATCTCATTATGTCGCCAAAATCTGATGGTTATAGGTTTGTAGACTTCCTGTCTTAAGCCCTGCTTCCTCTGTACATATTTGTTTTGTTCCAGGAGGCATGAAGAGACCTGAATTCTAGACAAATCCCTAATAATGAGTCATGATTGAAAGGATTCTGCTCCATTTTGTATTTCCTAAACATGTTTCTTTCATAGAAATTAAAGTACTTCCTAAACCTGTTTATGTAGCAGGCAGATGGAAAACTAGCACCCTTTGGCAGAGAGGAGAGATGAGTAACTCACTCAGGAAAGTGAGACACCAGCCCGCCTGCTCAGGGGCGAACTCATGTTATATCATCCACCAATTCTAACCAGGAGTGTAAGGGTTATGGGCATGAGGTCTTTGGCCATCATTGTCTTAGACCTCTTAGATTTCTGAGGCAGGTTGGAGGTTCTACATGCCCTGTGGGTTTTGGGGCCTGAGGATAAAACCAGAAGTGTAGCAATATAATTAGAGCTGCCTTAGCTCCTGCCTAGTTGCCCAAAGCACATAGGCATGGTCAGGGTGAGTTGGCTAATCTAATTTAGTTACTGTCTGTGTCCTGTCTCAGGTACTATAGAGGTGCTATAATCTCAGTTTTTAAAACAAACCAGACTACAATATTAGAAAATAAATGAAGGGAAGGTGGAGACATTTTTAAAGGAAATGTGTGACTTCCAACATACAAATACAGAAGTGTACCTGAAATAGTGAATAAACTATAACAAAATACTTTTAAAAAGTGTTATTTCATTTATAGTAAGTCATGTAATTCCAACTAATTTATACTGTGTAAAAGTAAGGACCTATTTGAATGAATGTGTAAAATGTTAGAATATCAATTTTAAAATATTTCTGCTTTGCAATTTTACTGCCATTTGTTTTTTCATAATCTTCCCCAACTACCTTTTATTTATTAATGATATCAAAGATTGTTTCAGTCAAGTCCATCTCTAAGCTACTTGCTCATGTGTCAGGTGTTTTTGTGAGTAAGGTATCCAGAAATTTGCACACTCTAGAGCAGAGTCAAAAATCTCTAAATTAATAGAATGGGAGAAAAAATTATAAACCATATATCTGATAAGGTGTTACTATCCAAAATAAGAAAGGAACTCCTACAACTCAGTAGCAAAACAAACAAACAAACACAACTATAAGTAACCAGATGTACAACTGAGCAAAGGACTTAAATAGAAATTTCCCAAAGAAGACAAGCAAGTAGCCAGTGGGTACATGAAAAGATGGTTAACATCAGTGATCATCAGGGAAATGCAAATCAAAACCACAACCTTATGTATGATAGGATGGCTATTATAAAATAAAATTTTTTTGAAAGTACTGGTGAGGATGAAGAAAAACTGGAACCCTTGTGTACTATGGATGGGAATGTAAATTAGTCCATTCACTATGGAAAACGGTATGAAGGTTCCTCAACAAATTTTTAAAAAATGGAGTTGTCATATGACCTAGCAATTCCACTTCTGAGTATTTACTCAAAAGAATTGCAGTCAGCATCTTGAAGAGATACTTATACTCCCATGTTCATTGTAGCAATATTTACAATAGCCAAGATATGGAAGCAACCTAGATGTCCTTCAACAGATGAATGGATAAAGAACACATAGTATATACATATTAATACATAGCATATACATAGTATATAGAATATTAATTATTCAGCTATAAAAAGCTGGAAATCCCACCGTATGTGACAACATGGTTTGGGTGAATCTTGAAGACATGCTCAGTGAAACAAGCCAATTCACAGAAGGACAAATACTGTATGATTCCACTTGTATGAGAAATCTAAAATAGTCAAACTCATAGAAGCAGAGAGTAGAATGGTGGTTGCAAGGGAATGGGGAGGAGAAAATGGGGAGTTGGTCAATGAGTAGAAAGTTTTAATTATGCAAAATAAATAACTTCTGGAGGTCTACTGTACAACATTGTTCCCATAGTTAACAATACTGTATTGAACATTTAAAAAAACTGTTAAGTGTTCTACCACAATAAAAAATCTCTAAGTTAGGTAGAAATCTGCTTGGAAGTAGCCAAAATAGCTGTAAGAATTTTGTAATTTTAATAAACATAGTTAGTTTCACAGAATACAACAGATTCAATATCAGACATTAAAAATGGAAGCAAGACCAGTCATTCACAAGAGCTAAGATGTGTTGATGATTTATGCTGTGCTAGGCCTGGGTTTACGTCTTTTGCAAGCATTTCATCTTTACAACAACCCAGTAAGTTTGGTACCATTGTTACTCCTTTTAACAAGGAACTAGTATGCAGAACGTGAAAGTAGCTGATCAAGGTTGCACAGCTGATAAGCAGCAGCTCTGAAAGCAGTCTAGACTCTTGATGCCAGTGGCTATTGCCTCCCCAGAAAATACCACCCCAGCTTCTTCTTGCTAAGGCTGTTAAATTACTGATGTCCCTGATGATGACCTTAGAAGTTTAGCTTATGTTTCCTACACCATATCTAATATAGGTAAATATTGGTGCATGTTAGAAATATTTCACTTAACTATGGTTACATAAAAGTAGATTTTTCTTTTTAAAAAACAGACAAGCATCTGTTTTCTAGAAAATCTACTGGCATGCATCACTTCGTCCCCTGACAGTGACAGTGGTGTTTCCACTGTGCATTTCAACTTAGATCGGCTTAGATCCCAACAGGAGTCCTTGCAGTTATACCGAGCAGGCTTGGATGATTAATGAATACTAATTGATGGTGATGAGATCTGTATGAATAAGAACAATAAGTTGTCTTCTGGAAGTGTTTCTGGAACACCCCACCACCATCATTTTGAGGTTGTGGATAGACGGGATGGTTTTATAATGCCAAAATAATTTATTCTGAAGAGACAAAGTTCAGTCAACCATTTTAACTTCCTGATGCTAAAGACTCTGTCACATAGGACTTTAAAATTATATTGACATCTTGTTTTGGCTATCTGTAAATATATCCTCCAAATAAAAACCTCAGAAAATGTCTTAAATAAAAGTATGCAATTAGTATTTGGTTTAACTTATTGTCAGCTTTTATTTTACATATTTACCCCCACTTGTTAAACCTTTGTGGTCATTAACACTTGCTAGAGAATAATATCCTAGTTCATTTTCTAATTATATAGGAAGTTCGGGGTCAGAATTAGTCAATATTTCTACATCTTCACATTTAGAGACCTGGTATAAAGTCTTACATAAACTAGCAAATGTTTGCCTTTCATAATAGAAATTTGAAGAGTACTCTGGTTTTGTTTATGCATTTGCTAGCTAATGGTCTTCCCTGCTATGAACTTTAGACACATTCAGTGAACAGGCATAGAGCATGACATATGCCTTAATGACCTAACAGGCAGATTTGTGAAATAATAACCTTGCCAGCTTGTCAGCCAGAAGTAAAAGGGGAGGTGGTAGTGGTGAATCTGTTTGCATTACTTGATGCGTAATCATAATGAATCAGAGGATTTATGAGAAATCTTTAACCATCCCATGAAAGATGTGCTTGCCAAAGATATACAGATTTCTGTTGTTTTTCTTTTCTTTTCATTTACTTAGGCTCTATTTGTGTGTATGTAAGAGATTACTGAAAGTTTAGCAGTCATTTTATGCTATAACAGATGTCACACTGTTCCAAGTTCACTTTTCTGATGTCATCAGATTCTATAAAATGTTATTTTAAAAACTTAATGCTGGTCAAAAGGAGACCATTTGAGGAAATCTGCAGCATATGCAATTGTGGTTCAAAAAATGCTCAGTCTTTTCATGTAGATACTGCCTGGTGGTGGAGACCTTTATCGGAAGGCCACTGTAGCCTTTAAGAATTCCTTCAGTGCAGAAGAGCTTAGCATCTAAACCATGCAAACACATCACAATGACTAAGGGAACTTGAAAATATATATGTCAGGCACTTCCTCAAACTCTACAGAGGTGGAACCTATGCAGATGGAATTATTTCCACTTTAATTGCCCACATCTGGGTTTGGAAGTGGCAAGATTTTTGTGTGCCTCCCTCATATCAGGGCAACCCATTTCTATGCACTTTGAAATTATATTAGGAAAGAGCCACATCTTAGCTCTGTAGAGAATGCCACACATTTCATTTGTAAATTCCAAATATAAAAACTGCTTAGTTTGTTGTAGACACTTACATTTATTAGACAATTCTGCTGCTCACAATAAGGGTTTAAGATCTGCTTTTCTAGAAGATAGAATTCTCTGAGACCCTTTTTCTGCTAGAGGTCTGCCAGGTGATAAGTTTCTAGCTTGGGTTCATACACAAAGAACTACCTCACAATCA